GTCTTCAAGTGGAGGAATGTGGGTGGAAGAGGACTGGCTGGCTGGCGTGACTGCGTGCGGGCGGGCAGACGCCGGGACAGCAGGGAGAGGCTGGCAATGCGGGTGTTGCCGACCTTAGCAAAATATAAAATTTTTTATTTACTTGTAAATAAAAAAAATTTGCATACAGTATACTAACTGCATCTATGTTTTTCCATTATTATACTACAATATGATTACAGTGGTCCCTCGGTTAACGAACGCCTCGGTTAACGAATTACTTTCCATAAGAATCTTAAATTCGGTTAACGAACAAGCATTTGATTAACGAAACTCTTACAAAAACATGTCAACATATTTTGGCTTGCTCATCGGCTGGTAGGTTAGTCCGCCAATACAGTAATCGGTTCTAGGGCTTACATTCGTTTCCATTGGCGTAAATATCAAGAAGGTTGTGCTATTCAATATTTGTCCAAGTTTTATATTAAATTTTTTAGTCATTTTAACACTTATTTAACATAATTGCAGTACAGGGAACTAGTTTTTTGGTATTCCCATCAGCCACTTCACTCACCCACCAAGGCGTCTGTTTGTGTATCTATTCAGTGGAGGAAACATCTTGCTTGTGACTCTCTTGAACACAGTATTTTTAAGATTTTACACTACAATTATTGGTCATTCTGAACTTTAGCTAACATATTGATAATATAAAGCACAGTGCAGTGTTGATTTAAAGAAAATAATCTTGAATTACACCAAGTGAACTTAAAATTTTATTGGTGAAATGATGGCATCAAGCATAGGTCCCCTGGAAGGTGATTTCCCCTCCATCCCCACTTCCTTCTCTTCTCCCTTCTCCTCCACCCCACTTCTAATTCCCATCATCATCATCAACCAGGCGCCTTCTACATACACACCTCAAAGTAAGTGTACTTTACTGCATTTTTTTTTTACATTGTTTGTACTTTTTGGTGAGCTGGAACCAATTACCCAATATCCCATTGAAACAATGGATTCAGCTAACGAACGACCTTCTGAAATGAATTGTGTTCAATAACTGAGGGACCACAGTAGTTTCAAATAATGATGTTAGTAAATGCCAGTACAGTGCATCAGTGATCAGTGTGACCACTGGGCCGTGAGTGGAGAGCATGGCGTGGTTAAGTGCATGACCTACCTGAGCTGTTTGGTGGCCACTGGTACAGTGATTCCTAAAAAGAGTATTCGCGGTTTTGGCTTTTCGCGGGGGTTTCAGGAACGTAATTCCCGCGAAAAACACGGGTTAAAAATAGTGGTGATGAAACGGGTTAAAAATAGAGGTGACAAAACAGGTTAAAAATAGTGGTGACGAAACGGGTAAAGCAATGGTGACGAAACATGTTAAAAATAGTGGTGACGAAACATGTTAAAAATAGTGGTGACGAAACGGGTTAAAAATAGTGGTGATGAAACGGGTTAAAAATAGTGGTGATGAAACGGGTTAAAAATAGTGGTGACGAAACGGGTAAAGCAGTGGTGACAAAACAGGTTAAAAATAGTGGTGACGAAACGGGTAAAGCAGTGGTGAAACGGGTTAAAAATAAGAAACGGGTAAAGCAGTGGTGAAACACAGGTTAAAAATAGTGGTGACGAAACATGTTAAAAATAGTGGTGACGAAACGGGTAAAGTAGTGGTGACGAAACGGGTTAAAATAGTGGTGACGAAACAGGTTAAAAATAGTAGTGACGAAACGGGTAAAGCAGTGGTGACGAAAGCGGGTTAAAAATAATGATGTGAAACATGTTAAAATAGTGGTGACGAAACATGTTAAAATAGTGGTGAAACGGGTAAAAAGCAGTGGTGACGAAACAGGTTAAAAATAGTGATGAACGGGTTAAAAATAGTAGTGATGAAACGGGTTAAAATAGTAGTGACGAAACGGGTAAAGCAGTGGTGACGAAACGGGTTAAAAATAGTGGTGACAGAAACAGGTTAAAAATAGTGGTGACGAAACGGGTTAAAAATAGTGGTGACGAAACGGGTTAAAAAAGTGGTGACAGAAACGGGTTAAAAAGTGGTGACGAAACGGGTTAAAAAAGTGGTGACGATACAGGTTAAAAATAGTGGTGACAGAAACGGGTTAAAAAGTGGTGTGAAACGGGTTAAAAATAGTAGTGGCGAAACAGGTTAAAATAGTGGTGACAGAACAGGTAAAGCATTGGTGGCGACAGGTTAAAAATAGTGGTGACGAAACAGGTTAAATATGGTGGTGACGAAACGGGTAAAGCAGTGGTGACGAAACAGGTTAAATATGGTGGCAATGAAACGGGTTAAAAATAGTGGTGACGAAACGGGTAAAGCAGTGGTGACGAAACAGGTTAAATATGGTGGTGACGAAACGGGTAAAGCAGTGGCAATGAAACGGGTTAAAAATAGTGGTGACGAAACGGGTAAGGCAATGGTGACGAAACAGGTTAAAAATAGTGGTGACGAAACGGGTTAAAATAGTGGGTAAATATTTACTTTAGGAGTCCCTACGGGGTGACTATGTTTTTCCAGTGTATTTTGGTGTTTTTAAATGAATCTGACCTTTATTTTTGGCACAAATGACAACCAACCTGGTCAACGAAATTAAAATCGTACCCAGGCTGCTTCATTTGAAAAATCAAATGTGATTGGTCGAAAACAATTTGCGTGAGGATATCGATACTTCATTGGTCAAGACTGGATGACGTCAGTCAACATTGTGCATGCGTGATGCACAGATAACATCTTCTCACCTGTAATGAGGGGTTTTTAGAGTAAGAAGTAGAGAGAATATTTAGTAAGAGAGTAAAAGAGAGGAAGAATTTGGTAGCGTGGCCGTGTTAGTTATTTACTCTGACAATACACTTATCTTATCTTATACGTCAATACACATCTATTACGTTCTTAAGGACGATTCTCAAACACCGCTTCGTTACAACTATTTATTAATCACGACAATGGCATGGACACATTAATAACACCTTCTATCGAAGTTACTAGGACATTACATTTACGTTACTAGGACATCATATTACGTTACTAGACACTCTGATTCTCGGACACAACATGAAATGAATACACTTCCCACGTAAGCAACTCATCCCATGGATAGCTCTGACAAAAACTCACGAGACCTGGGGAAGGCCAAGCAGGTGGTCCTGGGTTGTCTCTATGGGAGACTGCTTAGCTGGGCACCCGAGGAAAGTCGGGAGGGAAGTCTTGCGTGACTCTCCTCCCGTGAGCGGGACTGGGTTGTCGTGGACCTCCTCCTCTGATCCCTCCGTGTGTCTGTTTCTCCCCGACTGTCTCGTGAGGGAGGGCTACAACATCCTATATATTGGGAAACGAGCCGTCAGGTTGAGCTGATCGGGGGGCCGGCGAAGGGTCTCCTTACATTTGACCTCGCTAATGTAGGGTCAGGTCTGGAATGTTTCTGACTAAAGTTGTATATATTGGAGGAATCTTCTGCTGCTTGTTAACATAGTTGGTGGGGCCGTGTGACATGAGAGGGGTGCTGGTTGATTTGTTGCCCCCTTGAGCGGCCGCGAGGGGTACCCTTACACTTGACCCCCCTAATGTCGGGTCAGGTCTGAACTGTTTCTGAGATGTAAGCTGTGGTCTGACAACCCATCACTACACACAGACGAAGACTGAAAACTACTTAAAATCAATTAAATTCAATTGTGTCACTATTATCTATTTCCGTCATGTACAGTATATATGGGTTCAATATGCTCAGAATAGCAAGATCTAAATGTTTCAGTAGTTTATAACTTTCGGGGGTGCTATGTCCGAAATTAAAAGAATACCAACAGTGGTGACGATATGGGCAGACCCCAAATAAACACCGAAAAAATAACTCGGAAACTCAGTCGTAAATAATTACCAGATTCTTTACCCAATTATGAACTCCACTGATTTTTTTTTTTTTTTGCACACAACTTTCCTACCTTAAATCTATTATCATATTCGAAAAAGACGTCTAATTATAAGATAATTTCTTCTATTATATTACCGTCGCAAATGTATAATAACGGAGATAGCGCATCCCAAATGTTTCTATTTTCTTCCATTAATCTTAAAACCAGTATCGTCTACCTCACCTCCCACACTGAGTGTTTCCTTCATAAATCATCGTGTGCATGCGTTCCCGTACGTCACGCGGACAATCAAAAGCTTCTTTTTTTTTTTGCAAAGAATTAAAATGATTTGTGGTTTAATTCGCAGTATTTTTGGCCCAAACTAATTCGATTTTATTTTGGGCCTCATATTTCGTAATTAAAATTCATTTCCGACAATGGAGGTCTGCGATGGGTGTCACTTCAATTATATGGAGCTGATTGTGAGTTTTGGGAGAAATAAAACGAAGAAACTATAGCATTTTTTAGATCTAATGATGTTCCCCCGACCTCAGTAAAAGGTCCTAAGTGCAGGAACGATTGTAAATATCGTCAAGACCAACATATGTGGTAACTCGTCCCTTATCCCTAAGACAGAGACGTTGCAGGCCAATAAGATAAGAAACAAGTGATTCCATCACATGGTGAGTTAGTTAGGTTAGGTTTATGTTTTTCTTGTGTTTTTTTTTTTTTTTGTATTTTGTATTCGCTTAGCCATATTTTTTTTTTCGGACAAAGCCCCACCCTACACCACCGGTAACTAAAAAAACGGGCAATTTCCGACAGATATGAAGGTCAAAACACACAAAACTACACTAGACAAGCATAGTTTTGACTTTCTAACAGTTGTGTGCACTAAAGCAAATTTACCGAGTTTTTACCCGTAATCCATCACCCTCGCTGTCATGGAGGCTCATCAAACGTCGTGGCCACAAGACAGTCAACTAACAATTTTATTATGACAGTTCTCTGCCACACTAAAGGTGTAAACATTGCTAAGTCACTCCAGCTTTCCTGACTTACGTACATGCTGAGCAATTAAAAAATATAGGCCTTCATAAAACATGAATTACAATTTTACAAATTAAATTTACATGGGTAAAACGTCTACAAACCTTGATTAATTACTGAAATAAGTTGTCACACTTTCATCCTCCGATACACCGGGGGGCGGATCAATCCCTACCAGCCACTGCCAGCGTCCGCAGTACTTGTACCAAGATCCACCACAAATTTTCTTAAACATATACAACAAATTATTTAAGAAATTTTAAATTCTCAAAATGAATTTGACATAAGTAATAATTTTTATAATAATTTCTTAATAACGTTACTCAAATAATTCAGTATTTCTGTATAATGTGCTGGAGGACGCGACGTCATAAAAATTAGTTTTAGTTATATACATTGGGACTATTTAAAAATGAATGACCTTTTATGTGATGCTGCAACATGTTCTAAGCTCATAAATAATCCTCTCAACACAGTTAACACCCAGTTCAACAAAAAACTGAAGTTTCTATTGAGAGGCAAAGCTACTCTCATTAAACATCTTACTTCAACGTCCCCTCCACTGCCATACATGTACGGTGTAATCAAGACCCACAAGCCTAATAACCCAGCAAGACCCATCATCAGCTCAGTTGGGTGTCAATCTCTTATAAATTATCTAAAGGGTTAGTTTCCTTACTAAATCCCCTAGTTGGCAACATTTCTAACTCTAATATTAAGAATAATGTGGATCTGGTTGATAAACTCAATAACTTACACATTAATTATGATTTTAAACTGGTCAGTTTTGATGTTGTAGTGGATGCCTCCCCTACAAACGCTGTTTGTCGCTGAATAACCGACCCCGCGAATTCCCCAGTGTATGCCTTGTGGTCTAGGTCAACCAGCGCCGCCTTACATGACGGAGGTCAACTATTAAGCCACGCCTACCTCCGCTATATAAGACCTGACCTCGTGGTGACCTACCTCTCTTTCTACCTACAGCCAGTCTTCAAGTAACAACACCTCCTCCGCTCCTGCCTGGAGGCTCTCGCTCCCTCAGGCAAGCATGGCGACCCACAAGCTGGTCCTCTGAGCATCCTCACCAACCAGCTCTCTCTACATCACGCTTGTAACCACGCTGCCACTTACCAGCACCAAGCTGCACTGTACATCCAATACAATATGTATACAGAGAGCACATTGTGAGTTTCCTTTCTCCATCCCATCCTGAGTGTGAACCAAATAACCCTTACCCCACAATGTAACATCACTCTTTACAAAAGTCCCAGTAGATGATTTACTGGAGTTCCTCATAGATTCCCTGGATAATATTCCATTGCCCGTCTCGAAAGACGACTTCATCGAACTCATCAAACTATGTATTAAGGATTGTAAATTTGAATTCAATGGAGAATATTATGCTCAAAACTTTGGTATGGCAATGGGTAATCCACTCTCACCTGTATTAAGCAACCTATATATGGAATTCTTTGAAAAGAAACTATTAAGTAATATTTTACCACCTTCAGCAGTCTGGTTTAGATATGTTGATGATGTATTATGTCTCTGGCCACGTAATGATGACCTAACAGCTTTCCTGCCACAACTTAACAACTTAGCCCCCTCGATCAAATTCACTGTGGAACTAGAGCATGACTGTAAATTGCCTTTCCTAGACTGTCTGATCCACAGAATAGGTAACACCTTTAAGTTCAGTATTCATAGGAAACCTAGTGTGTGTTCACACATTCATTATTATTCTGCCCGCCATAATAGAGTCAAACAGTCAGTATTTTCATCAATGCATTATTAACCAGATAAACCTCTACTCAAATAATGGTTCTTTCCAAGAATGCATGTATAGGCTTCTTTAAGTCCAAGGTCAGATAGATTCAGATTAAGTATTAACTCAACTACAGATAAAATTGAAGTTTTGCATCCAATACTAAAACAAATAAACAATTTAATGAATTTGATAAAATTATAACAAAAGCATGAACATGTTGGAAAAAAAAGAATTTTAATAAAAATAACTACCATCGACCATGGATAATGGATATATTGAACACAAACATTGATCAATTGCAAAATAGAAAATAAACATTACCTTTATTTACAGACCACTGGGCTGGAGCGAGGGCCACCAGGCAGGAGCGGAGGAGGAGGAGGTGTTGCTTGCTGGTGGCTGTAGGTAGAAAGAGGTTGGTTGGTTGGTTGGTTGGTTGGTTATACGGAGAGAAGAGAGCACTAGCTCTGAGGGTGCAAGAAGGGTACACTACAAGGTAAAGTTAAGAAGTGGGAAATAGAGGAGGAGGTTAACAGCAGGTGGGCTATCCACCTTGCGGAGACGGGTTTTTTTGTCTTCCGTCAACAGTGCTGCCTTAGTGGCTCATGTGGTTAGGGAAGGCCGGTCTCAGCCAAGCTAAGCTAAGTTGTTCTATTTGATGTTTCCTTGGGGCATATTATGATAGGGGTCCCTCCAGGTCCTTGTGTGACTGGAGAGTTGTGCCCATCTTTTGGTTCTTTTTTATTGTGTATATAGAGGCTCTGGTTCTTCGTTATCCTTTTTTCTTCTTCTAGGCCACCATCTGTGCGATGTGTTGTTGTTTTCCTCAATTAGTTGGTTTAGTATGGGATCCTGTTCTTGCTGGATTTTTTCCCATATTGCATTTGCTTGGGTGTGTATTCTGGTGTTGAGTGGGTCTATGCCGTGTTCTGTGTGTATGGTGGTTGGTGTTTTACCGCTCTTCTGAGGGCTATATTTTGCACTGCTTGAAATTTAAGTTGATTTGTTCTTGCGATTGTGATCAGAGGTATCGAAGGGTATTCTTTTTTTACTTTTTTTTACTTTTATCCTCTTCGCCACTGATCGGCTTGTTAGCCGCTTGGGCGATCGGTCACGTCTCTTTTCCTTTATATTCTTCACCAAAAGATCGGCTCGTTAGCCGCCCGGGCGATCGGTCACGTCTCTGTCTCGCACTGGTGGCAAATACTGGGCATGCACCGGCTCCTGAATGTACCTGAACCCGCTCCAGTGTTGGTCAAGTCCTTTCACACTCGGTGCCGTCTGCTTGCCTCTAGTGGGTGTTCCAGGGTTTAACCCTCACTCCGAGGATTTGCCTCACGGTTTTCTGGACTTGCAGCTTCTTCAATCTTGAGCTGGCAGCGACCTCTTGTGGGGCAGGCGTCCGCCAGCTCAATGGGACACTCAACTGAGTAGTGCCCTGAGATGCTTATAAACCTCAGCGGTCCCCCCCCTGCCCGTCTGCTTAGTATAAGCCCAAACAAGTTCAGGCGCTCCAATCTCTCAGGGTAGCTGAGATGCCGAAGTGCAAGGCACCAGTTTGGTGGCCCACTCAACTGGTTTATTTTCCAGCAGCAATCATATCTCGAGGACAGATGGGGTGACAATTACTCTCAGATGAGAAGCACTTCGCACTCCTGAAAGGAATCGTCACGAGGACGGACCGTCTGAATCTGAACGACCTTCTTATAAGACCCAATAATTTATTTTACCTGGTTACCTTCTTCTCTACAATGGCCCGAGAACTTCCAGCTCATTGTCAGCATACACACCTAGGTCCTTCTCACACACAGTCTCCATAACTGGTATATTTCTTCATCCCGTTGGGACGCGGGTATGCTCACGTTGGTACGCCCCAGGTGCATCCTCTTACACTTCGTGACATTGAATCTCAGCCATTCCTTCGACCATTCCTGGAGCCCACAAGTCGCTTCTGCAGCTCTTCACAGTCCGCTTGGTTTCTTATTTTCCCGAAATAACGGCGTCGTCAGCAAACATTTGTATGGAGGAGTGTACAACGTCAGGCATATCATTTATGAAACAAACAAACAACAGCGGGCCCAATACTACCACTGCATTTACTTACTTGTTACAGGTACAGATGACGATTTCGTGCCATTAATCACCACACATTACTTGCAGTCATGTAGAAAGTCTTCTATCCACGCTAGGATATTTTCCCCGAATTCCGTACCCTTCAGTTTGATTTTCAGCCTTTCAAGTAGGGTACTGCTGTCCAGCTATCGGCAAAATCTGAGTAAATATTGTCGATATTGCCACCCCGTTCTAGAATATGGGTCAAATATCAATACCTTGAGCAATTGTGTCAAAGCAAGAGCGCGCCCTCCGGCAGCAAAACCGTGTTAGCAATCTTTTTACAAGGTTGTTTCGTAGTAGATGTTCCATCGCGCTGCATCGTCAGTACATATTGTGCTGGTCAGGCTCACCGGTCTTATAGTTGTTTTGTGGGTGCCTATCGCGCTTCTTGAGGAATGGGACTCCCGCAAGCCCTTTCCATTCACTGAGACACATTTGTTCATCAGGCATTTTGCAAACAGAGAAATCTTCAGGGGCTCTACCAAGCTCGTTTGCTAGCTCATAGCACTCTAGGGGATGCACCATGTCAGGTCGGAACTCTTATGGACCTTTTAGCCTGGACATGGTTATTTCTAAGCACCCTCTTCTGTGAACACAATGTGGGTCAGTGCTGTGTCCGAACCGTCTGTCTCAAACCGCAGGAAGGAGTTAATTTGCATCTCTCTCTTGTGACACTGAGGGAAAAAAGCCCATTCAATGCCTCAGCTTTATCCTGGTCCAGGGGTCCTGCGCTTCTGCATCTTCAAGCCTCAGGTCACCTCGACTTTGCCATAGCGGTAAAACGCCTTTGGGTTTTGACTTAAGCCTACGTATAACCTTTATAGCTCCTTTTCAACCCTCCTACACTCCATCTTTGCTTGGTTTCTGGCTCTGCCCATCCTCTGTCTTGCTCATCGTTTATTAACCCATCTTCAGTTTTCTGAGGTTTCTTCTTGGTACGTGGCTGCTGCATGGTTCATGTGTAAAGGATCCCCTCGTATTCCTAAACACTAGGTTTGGTCTTGGAAACCATATTTATCGATCAAATGGCGATCATTTTTTACTGAATTATGATATTCGCGTAGTGTCTGCGTTCTTGTACCTTAATAAGTCAGGCCAGTTGATACCCCTCATCTCTTCCTCATCTGACCTTAATTTCCTCAGCTGGCCTTTATATTATCTTTAGGTAACAGTGCGTCAGACTGACAACACTGTATGAAAAATCTTGGTGCCCTTTAAGGCAGGTGTTTCAGTTTGGCCTATACCACTCCTCGTTTGTTATGATGAGGTCAGAAGTGGCTTGGGTGTTTACTCCCCTCTGTAATGTGTTGG